GAGTTAAGAAGCAGGAATTGAGGTTTGTCAAAGATTTACAAAAGTGCTTCTGTTAATAGCTTCTGGTGTATAGTCTAACACTCGGCTCCATCGTTTCAGTTACGTCTAACTCTTCATGACCCCATTTGGGGTTTTCTTGGTAAAGATACTGAAGTGGTTTACCATTTCTTGTCCTGCTCATTTAAAAGATGAGGAAATTGAGGTAAACAGGATTAAGTGACTTGCCCCAGGTCCACAGCTAGTCTGAAGTCAGATTTGAACACAGGTCTTTCCAGAGCTCTATTGACTGTGCCATCAAGCTGCTCTGTCTTATGGTAGAGATGTCTTTACAAAATAGAAATAGATTACAAATCATTACTTGTTATACATAGCTGATCTGAGGATCTTCATAGGAAATGGGTGATAATCTCCAAGCCTTATTCTTCTCTCTTTTGGCAAAAGGGTTGGCTGGTAGACAGACAAAACTATTAAGTGGAAACCTTCAAAGGAAGATCCCCTAGGCTAAGGGAGACAGGCAAGATGCTGACTTTCATCCAAAGTGCCAGAACCAACTTGGAACTTCCAAGCCTCACTTCTAAGAGAACATCACATTTAAGGGTAATACAAATACTGAAACATTTCATTGTCCAGATTCTCTCTCTTTTGTATGAAGATAATTTTTTAAAATAATTTGTCAGCAGTGTGTTATATACACCTGCCTCCCAAGTACAGATAGAGTGTCACTGCAGAAAGCACTTTTTTTATATTGTTAGAGATAAAGTAGAAAGTGGGAAATTTGTTTTTCTAGGATTGCACCAAAGGTTCCATTTTCTCTGTGAATTTCTGGGTGAAATTATGATTACAGTGCAAGAAATTTAGGTAAGATGCTAAGAATTCTTTAATAATAATAATGATAGCTAGCATTTTCATACATATATTTTCATTTATTTATTTCATACATATTTATAAATAATTATATATATGCATATATTTTATATCTATAAATACATATTTATAAATTTAAGTTTTTGCAAAGCACTTTACAAATATTATCTCATTTGAATCTGACAACCACCCTGGGAGGCAGGTGAGATTATTATTCCCATTTTATAGATGAGGAAACTGGGGCAGGCAGAGAGAGGTTAAAAGACAGACTCTAGGTATATGGAATGGCTATGATTTCAGAAAATTAAGGAGAAGCAAAGCAGCAATTCTTTTGTAGGAACACAGTGCAATGCAGTCATGTTGCTGAAACAGGGGAAGAGACAACATGATATCTAAAGATTCCTTCCAGTCCATTTGGTGGTAGGGCTATCCTTAGGATCATAGGATAAGAGATCAAAAGCTAGAAGGGACCTTAAAGGTGAATGCTCTCACCTTACAGATGAGGAAACTAAGAGCCCAGGAGTTGAAACGTGATCACCTTCACACTTCTTAGAAGCGCACCAGGATTGGAATTCCAAATAGATATTGATGTAGGATTTAGAGCTGCAAGGGAGCCTAGTTCCCTTCATTTTTCAGATGACAAATCTGAGGCCCAGGGAGGTCAAATAAATTGCCTAAGAACTTATGATTGCTAAGTAGCAGAATCAATAGGTGACATAGGAATCACCTAACTCCAAAACTGGAGGACTCTTTCTTCTACACCAATGGTTCTCAAATTTTTTGGTTGCAGGATCCCTTTACTCTTTTTTTTTGTTGTTGTTGGAGGCAATCAGGGTTACATGACTTGCCCAGGGTCACACAACTAGTATATGTCTGAGGGCAGATTTGAACTCAAGATGTCCTGACTTCAAGGGACAGTGCTCTATCCACTGTGCCACCCAGCTGCCCCAATCCCTTTACTCTTAAAAATTACTAAGGACTCCTCAAAGAGTTTTTATGTGAGTTATATCTATTAACATTTGCTGTAGTAGAAATAAAAGCAAATTAGTATTATCAGGAAAATAGTTTTGACCTCAGAGATGTCCTGAAAGGGTCTCAGGGACCCCCAAAACACCTCCAGATCACACTTGGAGAAGGACTGGCCTAGACTATGCTGTCTCTCCTGCTTGCTCATTGAATTTTCCTAAGGTTCCACATAGAGCATTATATTCTCATGGCCGCCATCCTAATACAGACTCACCTTCACCATCTATTTCTGTAATATCCTCCTAATATGTCTTGCTGTATGTCTTCCTACCTATACTTCCTCCCCATCTCCAATCTCTCCTTCATACACATAATAATCTTCCTTATGTAAGAATACGGTTGTATCATTCCTCTGCTCATTGGCTCATTGGCTTCCAGTTGTAAGGTTCAAACATTTTATCTTGGCATCCAAGGTTCTTCATCAGACGTGACTCTACCTTCCCAGTTTGTTTCAGATTATTAGCAACCACATACTTTGTGTTTCAGTCTGAATGGTTCATTCTGTCCCCAACCATACCTTGTGCTTTCTCAACTCTGCTCCCTTTCTAATGCTGTCCCTTAGACCCAGAATTTCCTTTGTCTCCCTCTAGGCCTTCTGAATTTCTATCCATCCTTTATTTATTATTATTTTTTATATGAGGCAATTGGGGTTAAATGACTTGCCCAGAGTCACACAGCTAGTGAGTGTTATGTGACTGAGACTGGATTTGAACTCGGGTCCTCCTGACTGCAAGGTCAGTGCTCTATCCACTGCACCACCTAGCTGACCCTTTATCCATCCTTTAAAGCCCAATTCCAAAGCCAGGAATCAATCTGCTGGATTGATAATGACCACCTCTATTAGGTCAGACAGATCACTTTGTTTTGCATCTCTTTCATTAGCCACACTTGGGTTACTGGATGGTGCAGTGGATGAATTGTTGGAGTTGGAGTTAGGAAGCCCTTTATTCAAAACCTGCTTCAGACACTAATTAGTTTTGTGACCCTGGGCAAGTCACTTACTCTCTCACAGTCTCAATTTCCTCATCTGTAAAATGGGTGTAATGATAGCACTTACCTCACCAAGTTGTTGTTAGGTTCAAATGAGATAACATATGTAAAGTGCTTCACAAACTTTAACTTGCTTATATAAATGATAGTTATTGCTATTACCTCAAGCTATAATTATCTATGTAGTTTCTTGCACCCCTTCTAGACTGCAAACCCCCTGAAGGCAAGGACTAGCTCTTATCTCAATTCTATAACTGCTCCAGATCCAAGCATGGCTTAATAAACATTGGTTAGATAACTAACTGTGAAAAACTAAGCTACTCAGATCATTCCAATGATCTCAGACAATTCCAAAGGCCTCTTGATGAAAAATGCTAATCACCTCCAGAGAGAGACTGAGAAATTCTGAGTGCAAATTGAAGCACATTTTCTTTCACTTTATTTGTCTTCCTCTTTCCCCTCCCCCCACACACAATATGGTTAATGCAGAAATATATTTTGAGTGCCTTCATATGTATAATGGGTATTTCTTGTATTTTTGTTCATTGTATTTCTTGTATTGATTGTACATTTGTATTCATTGTATTTCTTGACTTTTCAAAAGGGAACAAGGCACAGGGAGGGAGGGAATTTGGAACTGAAAATGCTAAGCTTTTAATGTTTTAATATAATAAAATGCATAAAAGTTAAAAATAAAACAAATATTGGTTAAATTGAATGAACTGAATTACTTCAGAGATCTTAAGATATCTTTATATACTCAAAAACAGAGGCAGATATTGTTTCTAGTTTATACCCAAGATTTTATTGAAAAAAAAAATGGTAAGCTAACTCATTCTTTCCTTTCTCCCTTCTGCAAGGTCACAAACTAGCTGATGTAGCAAGGTATCAGGAGACAGAGGTGGAAGGTGATATGTGTCAAGCAAGCCAAACCACCATCAATCACTACTTCAGTCACCATCTCCCTTCAGACTGAGATGAAGAAAGCCCAGGACCCTGAGCACAAGAGTCCTGGAAACAGTTGTGTTCACTAGACTATCAGTTCTAGCACCCAAAGCCATCATTAAGGAGAACAATCCCTGAGGAGAATAGACCTACCTTCCCTCCCACCGCTAATACTAGGAGCTAACCAAATGCCATTGATTAAGTGAGTCCAAGAGCCTTGGGAACAGCAGCAAATTCCTCCCTCCTCCCAACTACTGAAGACTGAAGAAAAATAAAGTTCTCATTACCAAAGTTCTTGGCATTGTCAAATGGTTTAACATCAGAAATGGATATGGTTTTATTGGTGGGAATAACAATAAAGAAGATGTATTACCATCTGCTTTCCCATTGCACCCTAAGGACTATGGAATCTTTCCATCTTATTTGCAGCTGAAACTCCTCTATTTGTTGTCTCCCTCTGTCCTTGAGAGCAGGGGCTCACTGTCTTGTTTTTCTGTGTGCATTCCCAGCACTTAACATAGTACTTTGCACATAGTAAGCTCTCAATAGATGCTTTTCATTTATTCATTCATTCATTCATATGGGGCAGAGTAAACTTTACTCAGATGTCCTGACTCCCATTATAGTCCTTTAATAATCAGTATAGGCTGCTTCCAGACAAGTTCTAGATCCCCTTTGCCTTCAAATCTGTGATCCCATGATCCTCTAGATTCTTAGAGTCCAGAGAATGATCATTTGTGGATATTTGTGGGGGAGGAGAATAGAAAGAAGGAACACTTTTTTTTTTCTTCTTGGGAAATAGTAATACTTCACATTTCTATAGTACTTTAAGGTTTACAAAGAACTTTTCTCACAAAAACTCTATAAGGTAGGCAGTGTAAATATTGTTATTCTCATCTGTAACATGAGGAAAACTGAGACTCAGAAGGCAAGGGATTTCTTTATAATCATACAGCTAGTAACTTCAGTCAGGAATTGAAGCTAGGTTTTCTGGTACCTCTGGTATGTGTGTGTGTTTCCCACTATGCTCTATAGTTGACATCTTCTCTACATGAATATGACATCAGTGATGATAGAGATGGAGGAGGCTGCCCCATAATATCATCAGTCTAACCCAAATCTCCATGATACCAGGTTAACTCTAATTGACTTGCCCCAGAAGCAGATCCTCTTACCTGCATGTCCTTCTTGGCGATGAAGCCTTTGCCCTCTGTGTCACAGGTCTGGAAAAACTCCTGAGCTTTCTTCAACATGTCCAGCTGGCCTGGGTCCTGTCCTCTTGTCCCACTCCATTGTGCATCTTTTGGGAACTTGGGATTGGCCTCATTCCCCTTAAGTGAAAGTCTGGCCTTCCTGGATTCTCGAACCGCTCTCTTTTCAGGAGCAGCCATCTTCTCAGTTCACCATTCACTGTCCAGCTCTGCTCCTGGACCTGAATGGGAAAAGAGAAGAGACAGTGAGCTGTTAGGGAGAAGGGCAGAGGGGAGACAGGCAGGGAAGATTGAAGGGATATGAGAATGAAGAGCAGACCCACTCACCAATGGCCCCCAACATCCCTTAGCAATTACCTCTTTAATTAGTTATTGAAGCCCAGGAAAGGCAGAAGAAAAAAAAAAGGATTAAAAATCTCCACCATGATGTCTTATTAGACTAGTGCATCCAGTCAATGAGGGCAGGAAGGAATAGAACAATAATTAAAAACTATTTCAGATTGAAAGATGGGTGAAATGTCCTCCCCCCCAAATCTACCCACAAATCCAAATGAATCCTTCTTCAAATAGCTCATAAAATATTAGAGCTGGAAGAAATGAAAAAAAATCTGGAATAACATGAAAATTATTTCTTTTAAAAAATGGTAGAAATGAAAAGAGGACAGAACTACTTGACCCAGAGATTCCATTGCTTGCTTGACATATATTCCAAGGAAGTTAAAGATAAAAATAAATACCTCATACACAAAAATATTTATTGCAGCATTTTCTGTGATAACAAAGAATTGAAAACAAAGTAGAGGTCTTCAATTGAGAAATGGCTATATAAATATTGGTATATAAACACAATGGAATATTACTGGACTATAAATGATGACCATGATGAGACAGAGAAGCAGGGAAAGACTTAGATAAACTGATACAAAATGAAGCAAATAGAATCAGAAAAAATAAAACATACAGAATGACTACAAAAATAAGATAATGTGACCTTAGGAAAAGTTATCATAAAAAGGGCAGGGAGCAGGACCAGGTCTTATGACTCAAGATACAGCATGAATCCCAGCACATGACACTGATTTCTTCATAAATACATATTTATTTCTAAAAATGAGGCCAAACAGAAAAAAAAATAGCAAGACAAAACAAGAGGAGCATAGAGATGTCCACATAGTTATAGGAAGACTTTTAAGGAAAAGTTTCTCCTTTTCAGGGCTAGCAGGAGCATTTAAACTCCTAAGGAACAATAGTTGAGTTTATGTGTAGTGGTCTTGTAGGGGGCTGCTGCACAATTGACTCGGTGTCTAGACAAAACAAAGACTGCATCTTGTATTAGTCTAGCAGGAAAAGCAAGAATAATGAGAAGTTAATTAAATAGCAAAAAAAAATCATAAATAGTAACAGAGACTTTCAAGTTCTTTTCTCATAGCAGGATATATCTAGCAGAAAGATAAACAATAAGGAAAACAGACAACTGAACTGATTATTTGAGAAGTTAGCTTTAAAAGACTTATGACATCCTCTGAATGGGGGGATTAATGAATACACACAGTTCTCAGCATTAGTTGGTACCTTTACAAAAACAGACTATTTGCTAGGGCACAAGGAATTAAACAAATATTAAAAGACAAAAGTACTAAATATATCTTTTGAAAACCATAACACAACAAATTAGCAATTAATACAGGGAACACAACAAAAGATACAAATCTAAATTGATACTTAATAATGATATCCTGAATAAAAAGCAAGTTAAGGAATACATATAGAAACAATGAACAACTCTGCAAAGTAGAATGAATGATGACACAGCATATTAAAATTTTGAGGATGCAACTAAGGTAATTGTTAGAAGAAAAATATCTCTGAAAAAAATACATTAACAAAAATAAAAAAGAGAGGAACAAAGAATTTAGTACTGTTTAAAAACCAAAGAAAGAATAAATTAACAATCCTGAATGAAGTACAAAAGAAGAAATATTAAAGTTAGAAGAGAAACAAATTAACTATTTCTCCTCTAACAGCTGAGATGAAAATGAAAAAGAAAGATTATAGAAATGTGAAACAAAACTGAAATATGGTTCTTTGAAAAGATTAACAAAATCAATAAACCTTTAGTTAATTTGATCAAGGAGAGAGAGAGATCAAATTACCCCCCCCAAAATTTTTAATGAATTCACAATAGAGAAGAAGTAAAAAGATGTATAGAACCCATACTATTGCATTTGAACAAAAAAAGTAAAAATTTAAAGGAATTTAAATTTAAATTTGTATCAGAATAAATATCAGGTATCCAAATTAAAAGAGCATGAAACAGAGATCCTAAACAACCCAACTTCAGAAACTGAAACTGAACAAATTACAAATGGATGACCAAAGAAAATCACCACACCAGATGGATTTTCATGTCAATCCTATCAAACATTAAAAAAAAAGACAATTAGCATCTATTCTAAATAACTCATTCTCAATAGGCAAAAAAGAAAACAATATAACACATTCATTTTGTGAGACAAATATGATTTAAATGCTTAAATGAGAAGGGATAAAACAAAGAAAGAGAACTATTGGCCTGTATCACTAATGGATACTGATGCAAAAATTTTTGTTGTTGTTCAGTCATGTCCAACTCTTTGTGACCCCACTTGGGGTTTTCTGGGCAAAGATGCTAGAATGGTTTGCCATTTCCTTTTCCAGCTCACTTTATAGATGAGAAAACTGAGGCAAACAGGGTTAAGTGACTTGCCCAGGGTCACACAACCAGTAAATGTCTGGGACTGGATTTGAACGCAAGACTTCCTGACTCCAGGCCCACCACTCTATCCACTGTGCCACCTTGCTGCCCAATTTTATTGATGCAAAAATATGAAATAAAATTCTAACAGAAAAAAAATAAAGAAAATATATCCCCAAAATGATTCACTATGAACAAGTTGGGTTTTTCCTGGGATTCAAAGATAGTTCAAAATTATGAAAATAGCTAAGTTAATTACATTAATATAAAAACAACTGAAACCACATGATTATGTTAATAGAGAAGACTTTTGACGAATCACTCATTTGCATTAGCATCCTTTAAAAAATATAAACATAAAAGACCATTTAAAAAGAGGTTTTTAAGAGTACATATCTAAAGCCAAAATCCATAATTATTTGCAGCAAAGACTAGAATGTTTCTCAGTAAATGCAGGTGTAAAACAAAGATGCCCCTTCTTGTCCTATCATTTGACAGTTCTAATAATGCCTTCAATAGCAATAAGACAAAAGAAAGAAAACAAAGAAATAAATAATGGCTACCAGGAGATAAAATTATCCCTATTTACAGAAGACCAAAGGTTTACTTAGAAAATCCCAAAAAGTCAGCAAAAGAATTCATTGAGGTAGTAGGTTCAGTAACACTGCAGCAATAGATGGGGCAGCTAGGTGGCACAGTGGATAGAGCACTGGCCCTGGAGTCAGGAGGACCTGAGTTCAAATATGGCCTCAGACACATAACACTTACTAGCTGTGTGACCCTGGGCAAGTCACTTAACTGCATTGCCTAGCAAAAGAAAAAATAAAAAAATTACAGCAGTATGGCATGGTGCATAAAGAGTTGGCCTTGAAACCATGAAGTTCTGGCTTCAAGAGATATCTGTAACACACACTAATGTGCAAAATCATGGGTAAGACATATAACCTTTCAGTACTTCAGCATCTCCTCTAAACTACAATCTGCCAAGAAAACGATGTCCTGAATTGATAGAAGTAGTTTTTTCACCTGATAATTCTTTGTCAATGAAATCACAGGTCTAGTGCTTATCCCTGAAGGAGCAGGATACAAAATTAATCCATAAAAAATCCTCAGCATTTCTAGCAATAACAAAAACTATGAAGAAATAATAGAAAGAGAAATCTCATTCAAAATAACTCAAAAATGCATAAAATATCTGGGAATCAATGTATTAAAATACACTCAACATATGGTTATGATTTTAAAACATTTTTTACAGGCATAAAAGATTTAAATAATTGGATGAATATTCATTGCTCATGGTTGAGCCATAGCAATATAATAAAATTATGAAACTATGTAAATTAATAGAGATCTCAAATTACTTAGGGATTACTTTATAATTTCTATAGAATAAGCTATATAAACAAGAATCAGAAACAATAGACCTCAATATCTCAGTGGCCTCGAGGCCACATGTGGCCCTCTAGGTCCTCAAGTGCAGCTCTTTGACTGAATCTAAACTTCATAGAACAAAATTTGTTTGTTCCCCCCCTACACTAGAACATTCAACTACATGAAGAAGGACTCCCTATTTGACAAGAACTGCTGGGAAGACTGGAAAGCAGTTTGAAAAAAATAAATTTAGAGCAGTATCTAACACCATATACCACAGTAAGTTCCAAGTGAATGAGTAATCTAACTATAAAAGAAAACATCATTTTTTAACATTGCAGAAAATGGATTGGAGTATCTTCCACAACTATGAATCATCACAGGATGGTAGATTTAGTGCTGGGAAGTACCTTAGAGGATATCAGTTACAATTTCCTCATTTTTACAGATTAGAAAATAGAATCAGAAAGGTTAGGTAATTTTTCTGTGGTCACTCAGCTAGCAAATGTCTGAGGTGGGATTCTGTTTTGGCAAAGCTTCTACCTCAGAGAATTTTAATCTATATAAACAAATAGCTGAACAGATGGCACATCTACTAAAAGGGAAAGTTAGGGGACCTACTCCAAAGGCAAAGGGACATAAGCTATGGAGAGGAAGAAATAGCAAATGCTTTTGCTCTATAACAATTTTTGTTCTATAACAATAACAACTCATGATAGCTCTTTAAGGTTTATGAAATTCTTTTCACACAACTCTACTAGGTAGAAATGGCAAATCATATTTTTTTTTACCACTATTTTGCAAGTGAGGAATCCAAGGCATTTAGAAGTGAAACAACTTGACCATGGTCACACAGCCACTAAATGTCATATTTAGTACTCAAAAACAGCGCTTGACTCCAACTTCATCATTCTTTCTATCATTTTGTCCCTTTGTCTGCATCTTTGTCTACAGTAAGAGATTTAAGTAAGGATAGATGACAATTGGGCAGCTAGGTGGTACAGTGGATAGAGCTCTGGGCCTCGAGTCAGGAAAACCTGAGTTCAAATCTGACCTCAGACACCAGTTATGTGACCCTGGGCAATTCACTTAACCTTGTTGGCCTTGCTTTCC